ATGGAACAATTGCATACTCTGCGAAGTGATATAACAACAGCTATGGTGGTCCTATCTCACTAAAGTGTCGCTATATCACAATATATTCAAATATTCTTACAAAATCAATGTCCAGAACAAGACAAAAGTATTGCAAAAATATACAAACAATTCTGCACACAGAGTTTATATAGGTAATAACATAAAAACACTATTTTTCTTCTAAGGATAAATCCTTTTGAAATAATGCTAATATATTACCCATGTTCAAATATTCATGTATGAGCACTCTCCAAACGAAAATACAAGTACAAATACAGACACAAATAAAATAAACAATATGCAATAAAATAAAATGGTATAAAATATAAATAAAATACAATAAAATAATAAATAGGAGAGAGTCATAACAAGAAACACCTGAACATGGCCAAAACTCTAACCACCAGAAAGTATCGCGCTGAATAATAACATAAAGAGATTTTTATCATATATAGTAACGTTAAAGCCATTATCAAATATTCCAAATAAAGCGCTAAGATAAGCAGTTTAAATCAAAGTCTCTATCCAGAATCTATCAAAAGGTTAAACGATACTATTACCTTACCATGATATGACCTAATGGTAATATCAAATTTAATAATAATAATAAGAGCAATAATAATAATAATAATAATAATAATAATAATAACATTTTATAAAACCTTACCCAAATAATACCAATATTATAATAATAATATTATTGTTAAAAGCTTTAGCCTGAGTACAAATGCAAAGAGTTAAAATAAATAAATACCTTAATACCGAGATGATACACTGAGTTTCATAAACAATAAAATACATTTCAGTTAAATAAAAAGTTATACAAAGTTATAAAAAAGGAAACAACAAGATCAAGGCCAGTATAACTCAGAATAAAGACAATACAAAATAGTAATATTTAAGGTAAATGTACTTCAGTGCATATGATAAACGCGACAACATAAAGATTTAAACTCAGTGTATGCGCGTTCCCAAGATATTAAACCAAAATAATGAAATAGTGATACAATAAAAATTATTACCAAAAATCACTCGCTATTTACACATATTAAAATGATTAGGACCCAATAAACTAGCAATGATAAACGTCATAGACCAAAAATGCGAATTAAATAATATTGTCAAAATTATAAGCAAAAATATATTAAAAAACCCAAAACGAGGAGTTGTTTATCATTACTAGCAAATATTACAATTTAAATAAGTGTACATACCTAATAATTGCAGAAAATCGGTAACAATCACCAAAAACTATAGCTATATTATAATATATTTCACAAACTGTTTAACAGGAGTATCTCGAAGGGCGAGCAAAAACCCTCTGTGTGTATTATATTTCCTAATCTAGCTTTTAAACATCTCGGCCACTTAAGCAAGAATGTGTAATATAAACACGTCTCCCTAATATTCCTACGCTCAGATACAAAGAAGTGAAACTTTAAACGCAATAGATTTTAAACATAAAATATCTTAAAACTATAATATTATTTTTAGTGGATTATTTAAATTTTCCTTGGTCAAAATAGCGCCAAATTTGAATTTAAAAGTTTATATACTACAGGACCCTTACAACACCTTATGGGGAATTTCACGCTCTTTAAAATTGCTTTTGAGTTTTTTTTTGTAACTCGCATTGGTTCACCAGTAGGAGTCGTCAAAGGACAGTTTTTGAAAAAAATCGTTTTTTTTTAAATTTTTTCTAACAAACCGCAAAAAGTAGGGAGAAAAGTTTTTGTTTTCTTCGGTGCTCAAGCAAAATATTTTTCTGCATATAGAAAAAAAAATTCTAAACAAGTTTGAGCTCTTAATATAAATTTTAAGTACTTACTATTTAAATTTAAAGTTTTACCGTTTAAAATGCATGTAAAAAATATATATTTTTTTTCAAATTTCTAATGCTTACCCACCTTTGACAATATTGCAAATCGGTTTAATACACCTTATGGGGAATTTCACGCTCTTTAAAATTGCTTTTGAGTTTTTTTTTGTAACTCGCATTGGTCCACCAGTAGGAGTCGTCAAAGGACAGTTTTTGAAAAAAATCGTTTTTTTTTAATTTTTTCTAACAAACCGCAAAAAGTAGGGAGAAAAAAGGGCTGAATCATAAAAAAAAGTTATCCAACCAATATTTAATGAATTTAAAGCCATTTTTATAACTGAAAACGTAAGAAATTGATAATTACCAACTCATAATGTTATTTAGATTGATTTTTTCTATTTATTATCATTATATTTCCCTACACTAAGAAGTTTTTTAAAATTATTAATTTCTCACTTATAATGAATATGAAAACAACAGATAAATTCATAAAAAAATAGCAAAAAAGTATAAATGAAGATTATTTAATTTTTTGAAGCGAAATTTGAAATATGTTACATAACCTTCTGTATATTCCGATTAAAGTTTTGTTGTTTTTTTTTATGAATTTATGTGTTGTTTTCATATTCATTATGAGTGAGAAATCATAATAATTTTAAAAAAGTTCTTAGTGTAGGGAAATATAATGATAATAAATAGAAAAAATCAATCTAAATAACATTATGGGTTGGTATTTATCAATTTCTTACGTTTTCAGTTATAAAAATGGCAGTAAATTCATTAAATATTGGTTGGATAACTTTTTTTTTATGAATCAGCCCTTTTTTCTCACTACTTTTGGCAATTTGCTCGAAAAAATAAAAAAAAAACGATTTTTTTCAAAAACTGTCCTTTGACGACTCCTACTGGTGAACCAATGCGAGTTACAAAAAAAAACTCAAAAGCAATTTTAAAGAGCGTGAAATTCCCCATAAGGTGTATTAAACCGATTTGCAATATTGTCAAAGGTGGGTAAGCATTAGAAATTTGAAAAAAAAACCATTTTTTTACATGCATTTTAAATGGGAAAACTTTAAATTTAAACTGCAAGTACTTAAAATTGATATTAAGAGCTCTACCTTGGTGAAACTTTTTTTTTCTATAGGTAGATTAATATTTTGCCTGAGCACCGAAAAAAAACAAAAACTTTGCGGAAATGAATCACCCTAATATGAATATTTAACAGAAATTCTGCGACAGAATCTAATTTTAAATTTTAACTGTCAATTATTGTCTATGGTGTGATTTCAACAGATAACAATCAATTAACCAATTGATTGTTGTGATAATCAACTGTTGCACATCATATTGCCAAACGAATGCGTATTGTTAAAGTAAAAAGTACATAATCATAATCGATATATCATAAGTCAAATAATTGATATAATCTTGATTTTTTTTTCTTAAAACACGTATTTTACAAGTATACAAACTTATTGACAACTTGAAGATCCATAACAATTTTTGCTTTTGTTAAAACGTAAACAAGCATTTAACTGTTTTAAAATAAAGATATCCCCATACTAATCTTTACATCTGAATCTGTATCTAATGCAGTCAAACAAAATTAATATGCTTCTCTTAAACGGAATAAGTTTTTGTAGCTAACACTATCAAATGCTGTAAGCACGTACTTATTTCTTACCTGACACTGGATACCGATAGTTATAAATCTTGCTAATTAATTCTCAATCCTGAAGTTTATCATTATAAAATTGTCGCTTCTGATATGTTTATTAGAAACGGAAGTTATTCAAACTTCTAACAAGTAATTTATCTTGTAAACTTTAGTTAAAGTGATGCATACTTATTTGGATAATAAAGAATAGTTTATAACTAATTCAATATTTTTTTTACCATTGAACAGTAATTGTAAGTATTTATTTTTTTTTATTTGTTGGTATTTTTATTTGGCTTTCATAATACCCAATGTATGTAAGATGAAATGCATTTTAAAAATAAGTTTTTTGAATTTAAAATATGTAATACAATGAGTAAATAAATAAGCATCAAGATATATCGTTCTTTAGACAAGAAATATGTCTATGTATCGTTTTTATGAAAACCCGATGGACAAATTGTGTAAATCTGTATAAATTAAATGTTTATAAAGCCATAATGCGCAGTAATTAATAATCAAATCCGAGGTGTGTTCAGAAAATAACGGGAATTGTTAAATTTCGCGGGTTCGGAGGGTCCGGTTGTCATAAAATTTTCTTTATTATGTTGGTATACATGCCCCCGAAGTATGATAAAAACTTTTGCTGTTTTCATTGTTTACTTTGTGTGTGGCAGCCGCTAAGGTTAGAGGTTATGAGCTCGGCGAATTTTCGTTCGTTAAAAGAAATGGATCAAAGAATTTGTATCCAATTGTGCTTAAAAAATGAAATAAATTCTGTGAAATGTTAACAAAGGCCTATAGTGAGTCTGCTATAAGTAAAACAAGAGTTTACAAGTGGTATAAGAGTTTCCAAGATGGCCGTGAAGACGTTGAAGATGACGAACGCCCCGAACGCACAAGCACATTAACAACCGATAAAAATATGGAAAAAGTGGAAGAAATGGTTATAAACCAACAGAGAAGTCGCTGATGATGTTGATATATCGATTGGCTCATCCCATGAAATTTTTTTGGAATGTTTTGGGTATGAAACGCTTGGCAGCAAAATTTGTTCTAAAATTGTTAAATTTTGAACCAAATTTTTGGCCAAAAACAATACTGTAATCATGCCCAGCTTCCATATTCGTCAGACATGCCTCTGTCTGACTTTTTCCTATTCCCAAAAATAAAGAGAACCTTAAAGGGCCGTCGTTTTGCAAGCATAGATGACATTAAAAGCGCATCGCTGAAAGAACTAAAGGCTATTCCAAAGATCGAGTTTTGGAAGTGTTTCGAGTATTGGAAGAAGAGCTGGCACATGTGCATAATATCCAATGGGGACTATTTTGAAGGCTACAACATTAATGTAGACGAATAAATAAATATTTGTTTCAAAAAACGAAAATTCCCGATATTTTCTGAACACACCTCGTACTTTGTACTCCATTTTAAATATGTTATGTTCCACATACAACAAGGTGTCACGGATCATTAAGTAATTTTATACAAATTATTTCTTACCTTCACGTCTTTCACGTTGGGCAGCAGGTCCGATGTGATGAAAGTCGAATTCACTGGAGCCGGTTTATTTTTGACGCTTGGAAAAATAACTCCTCCCTTCCTTTTCTCAGGTCTTTTTTCCGGAGTGGTAGTATTAAAGCTGGTAATATTTGCGGAACTTTGTATACTCGACGATACTGAAGTTTGCGTAACCACGTTAGGTGGTAAAGTGGTAAACCCGACTGGTAAAGTGGTGTCCGTGGCAAATTCATCCACGTACCTTGTCGATTCGTAATCTTCCAATCTGTCCAAGTTTGGGTCATCTATGAGCAACTCTGCAGGTACAGGTCTTTGCGCTAATGTAGCAACATCATCTTCCTGTTTTTTTAAACGTTTTTCGACCTTATCCAAATTTGCTATGATTTTATTCGTTTTCGTTCTTAGATCACTGTGAATTTCTCCTATCGCTCTTTCCTGTCTTTGCGTCTGTGTTAAAAGTTCGTCTGATTTTGGCACCAAATCATCAACAGAGCTTTTAGTTCCCACTACTACGTTCCAAACTTCATCCATCTTCTCCGAAACTGAAATTATCGGCCTCATTTGTTGAACAAGAGCATCGATCTTGTTTGTTCTAATATGTTCTGGTTTACTTGTTGTAGTAGTTGTAGTGGTTCTGTTATAATACACTGGAGTTACTTCAACTACTGCGTGGTGTACATCTGAAACCATAGTCAAAACTTTTCCTAAATTCTCTGACACCAAATTTATATGAAACTGTAATTTTCTATCCACATTGCCTGTAGCTTCTCGTAGTTGCCCTAATTCTTTTGTTACGTGATTAATCACCTCTGTATTCAAAGCTTTAGTAATCTCAATTACATTCATACTAATTGGTTTCTTTTCACTGGCTTCCACGTTAATATCTTCTCCTTGCAAATAATTATTATCCAATTGATTTTTTAAAACGTTTAATTTATCGTCTATATCGCTCACTTTCTGATCTAAAGAAATCAGTTTTTTGTTTAAATTCGTATCTTCGCCAAAGGAATTCGGATTTTTAGCTACAAACGAGAATTGATTCGTGCTTTGAAACAACTTTGTATCGATATTTCGTAATTTTGAAATAACCGATTCTGTTTTGTCAATATTACTGTTTACTCTTGTGTCCAAACTTTCAACTCTTCTCATCAGGTGTTCCACTGCCTTGTCCAGGTTTTCTATTCTTTGAAGTTTTGTTTCCAATGTGGAAATAATTGCTTCGAATACGTTGAACAAGTATTGTTCCCTGAAACAAAAAAAACATAATTTATGTATATTCTCTAAAAATATTTTTGATTAACTATCAAATAAATATTGTTTTGTATTATAAGAGAAATTACGTACAATCCATGCAATTTAACTCGGTGCATTTTTGTAATACGTATATATACGTATATATACTATTTAATATAACTACGTATATATACGTAGTTATATTAAATAATAACTACAACTTCTAGTTTTCACTATTTTTAATTTCATAATTTATATACACAATAAACTTTAGTATTAAATTGATTCAGCATTAACATAAATGCAGCATTAACTTTATAACATAAATAAAAAGATTCTGTACAAATTAGTTTTACAAATTAAATATGATAAAAATTAAAGAATATTCATCTGAAAACAAAAAAATTGTTATTTACTATTAATAATTATTATACAGGGTGTACCAAGGACCTTTTTAAGTGTATTTTATGTTATTTAAAGACCCTTGTATACATAGAAAAATTGCCTGATTAGAAAAATCAAAATACTTAAAAAAAACTAAAAACCTGTCAAAATTGTTTTAACTTTGTTATTCCTGGAAATTTTGAAAAAAACATGTACAGGGTTATTCCTAATATTTAGACAGCGCTTACTGAGTTTATTATAAAAGATAGGAAAAAACTTAAATAAAGTTGTAGGGTTTGTCCCAAATCGCCAAAAAATGTTTTGTAAAATAACAAATCATTCATTTCAAATGAATATGTCAATTTGGAAATATTTTAAGGAACACCATGGTGTCTATGTATAGACAAATTAATAGATATTTTTTTTCTGAATTCAAAAATATGTAATATGTTGACATTTACTCTGTCATATACTCATAGTAACTCATTGCATATGGCAAAATATTATTTATGATTCTTTTTACGTCGAAATCATATAAACAATAATTTTTTTCTTTATTTTCGACTTCTCAATGAAACCCCTTTAGGGTATAATTGTTATCTTGGAAACATAAGTAATTAGGAAAACTATAGTTTTCCTAATTATATTATATAGTTTTCCTTATTATATTATATTCCTAAATATATTTATTTAGTTTTTTGTCTTATTTGATTTGCTCAATCTTTTCCTAAATTTATGCCAATAAGTTTAGGGACACCTTGTATATTATATTAGATCAATTCTGGAAAAAATATTAATGACTTGTGAATCACAAACTTAATCCTAATTGTGGTAATATTAAATTAATTAAATAAAGAAGCAATAACAATAAATTATTATAATACTGAGCTGGTATGTAGTCATGCAGAGTTGATATCTCTTTCTTAAAAAATTAAAATCGCTTAGTATAGTCAAAAAATTGTATTACCTTTACTCATTTTTAAATTAATAAAAAAACAATAGGCTTTTTCTGAATTTATTGATAATTTCTTACACCTAAAATAACTTTTACTATGGAAAAAAGAAATGTTTAAGGTAATAAAATATCTAATTAGTAATTATAGGTAAAGATGCTCATGTTATAAAATTAAACAGAAAAGAGTTTCTAATAACAACAATGCTTAATAACATTTCCGGACATACCCTCAAAAAAAACATTAACTTTCTCACTATTTAAATATTTAAGTGCTTAAATAGTTAAAATATCGAATTTGCAGTGTAAATATAAACCATCCTAAAACAGTCAATATTTAAAAAAGTACCTATAGGTACCTAATAAATTATTAATTTATTAATTTGTCAGTAAATATTGTTGTGGATACATATTAAGTAACTATTTTTAGAAAAATTAAAATTATAAAATATCTAATAAATTACCGTTTAGTGTTACATTCTCTTATATAATACGGTAAATAATTTAAACAAACACTACTTTGCACAATGGCAATTATAAGGTTTCCTGTTAGTTGATTTACTTATAAATCTTTTTATGTTTTTATAATTCCGTAACACGTTTTTATTTCTGTGTCGATAATTTACGTTTAATCACAATATAATTGCTTTTACTTTCAATAAATAATTAAAATTCAGATAAAAACCATGCAAATTTAATATTTTAATGATTTTTTTATAATTATGTCAAAATAATTGTTATAGGGGCGTTGGCTATTTTGCAGTATGTTGAGTTATTAAGTAGTGTGGCAATAATTATTAGTAAAAAATATATTTGAATAATAATTATTGTTTGTCGCAAATTGGTTTTTGTAATTTAATTGAATCGTAATTGTTTTAAAATTAATTTTATAATATATTTAACCAAGATAAGTTTAAATATTAATTTAAATTAAATGTAACCAAATTGTTCTTGGAAATATTATAACATTTGATCTTAAACTATTTTTTTGATTAAAAAAAATATAAAAAATATGAAAATAATAAAAATCATAAAAATACTTATTAGAATACATCTTTAATCAAGGGTGTTATATATTATATACAGTATGCCCATTTTAAAACGAACAGCACTTAATATTTCTTTAACTGATGAGTCATCAGTGATGACCTATAAAAATTTGGCGAAACACGTCAATTTACTTATCAAGGGGGACAACTGTTGAGGTATTTGTTGTTTATTACATTAAACCCCATGACCTCCAGAGCACCAACCCCTAAAATTTTAAATAGCAACCCCTATTTATTTCCCCATTTTAGAAATCCTTATGTTATTCTAGATAAGATTTGCCGAATCGATTACTAAAAATAAGCTATAGTAGTTAGGTATTTTTTGTATCGTTTTCTTAAAATGGTTTACACTATTGCAGAACGCGTTGTAATGATCTTAATTTATGGAGCGGAAAACCGTTGCTTCGCAAGAACGGCGGTCATATTCAATAATCGACATCCAGAAAAAAATGTTAGACACAAGTACATCCGAGATTTAGTAGCTAAATTTGAAGAAACTGGATATGTTTGCAATAGGAAGAGGAATGAGCCAAGATTGGTCAATGAGATCGGTCAGATTGAAGTTCTTGGCCAAATTGCTATGGCTCCTACTATGTCGCTTCGTCAAGCTGCAGAACAAATTGGACTGTGAATCAGTCAGAAAAGTATTAACGCTTCACAAATTTTACCCATACAAGCTTCAAATTATTCAAGAATTAGGGGTGATGACCCGGACAGACGTATTGAGTTCTGCGAAATTATAACTAACAGGATTATTCCTCAGCCCCAGTTTATAAAAAATAACTGTTTCAGAACAAACAAAACTGCCGTTATTGGAGCGACTTTAAAGCTTTTAAAGCTCATTCATATCCACTTAATACGCGTAACTTAACTTAACGTACGTGATAGACGTAAGTTGAAATACATTTAAACCAATTCAGCTGTTTACATTCGTAGAAAACTTATCACACGTAACTTAACGTATCCAAAAGTTGGGTCCGGCTCAACTTAAGGGAATACGTTTCTTACTTAAGCCAATCACATGCCCAGTAAAACGATATAGCTCTATCTTGTTGTTTCACTTTTATAGATAGATAGGCAACCCAGTCTACATCCATGTCTACATTGCGCGTGCTTGTTTATTGCGTTCTTTGTGTGTATTAAGTTAATGTAAACACAAATTAACAGACGTAGGTTTCTTAAGTTAAGTTAAGTTACGCATATTAGTGAATGTGAATGAGCTTTAATCCTCACATTATTAGAGGGAGGCATACACAATATCCTCAAAAAATAAATGCTTGGGCGGGCATATTAGGTGATACTATCATTGGTCCTTTGTTCATAGATGGAAATTTAAATGGTGAAATGTATGCGGAAATGTTGGACAGAAGAATTGAGCCTCGTATAATTCATAAGGTGGAAAATCAAAGAGACGTCGATGGAAATCTTGTTTTCGATGAACATTTGCTACACTTTCAGCAGGACGGGGCATCTACTCATTATGTACGTCCAGTAAGAGAGTGGTTGGATAATCATTATCCGGAGCAATGGATTGGTAGGAGGGGACCCATTGAATGGCCACCTAGGTCACCAGATCTGACACCGCTCAATCGAATGGGGTCATTTGAAATCCATTGTATTCAAAACCCAACCGAACTCAATTGAACAACTCCAACAAAGAATTGTGCAAGAATGTAGGGCTATTTTACCAAATCAAGGGGAACAACTACCAAAACGTCCGCGAACATTTTGAATATCGGCTGTACTTGTGCTCACAAAACAATGGAAACCATTGTGAACAATTAATAAAGTAATTATATTATTTTTATTATCACTCTTACTGCGGATCCCCATTAAAACTAGCAGTTTTTTAATTTATAGACTAAATACATTCCATACATTTGTGGGGTTATAACCACTTCAATTTTAAAAACAAAAATGTAACTTATCTAGAATTACATAAGGATTTAAAAAATGATGAAATAAATAGGGGTTGCTATTTAAAATTTTAGGGGTAGGTGCTTTGGAGAACAGGGTGTTAAATGTAATACAACAACAAATACCTTAACAGTTGTTCCCCTTGATATGTAAATTGACGGGTTTGGCCAAATTTTCATAGTGTCATCAGTTAAAGAAATATCAAGTGCTGTTTGTTTTAAAATTGTCACCCTGGATATAATATATCTTTAATTAATATATACATATATATATATATATATATATGTATGTTACGGCTAATGTGCAAACTTGGATAGTTTATAAACTAGCTGGATAGTATGGGATAGTATGGGTTGGGGTCGGTAGGGTTGTGTTGTTGAGTTTTTTAACAAAGAAGCCTTAAAATTTTGCCTCATTCATTTTAAAAACGTTAAAATGCACAAAACAAATCCGGTTAAGCTGGAAAAAACGAAAAACAATGCCGTAACCTCAATTTTTTAATAAATTAGCCAGAGAATTGGTTGGTTAGTTTACAAACTAGCTAAAGCTTGGCTATTTTGTGTTACTAGAAATTTTGGTTTTCATATTAGCCAAACTGAATTGGATAGTATACAAACTATCCAGCTATTTTAGTTTCCCTAATAATTTCAAGTAAATTAGCCAAGATCCTTGGTTATTTTGTAAACTAGCCGCTAATTTAGTTGAAAATATGT